GTTTGCATGTTCTCCCCGTGCCTGTGTGGGTTCTCTCCGAGTACTCCGGCTTCCTCCCACAGTCCAAAGACATGCAAATGGGGACTAGGCTGATTGGATACTCTAAATTGACCATAAGTGTGACTGTGAGTGTGAATGGTTGTCTGTCTCTGTGTGTTTGCCCTGCGATGGACTGGCGACCTGTCCAGGGTGTACCCCGCCTCTCGCCCGAAAGGATGCTGGGATAGGCTCCAGCCCCCCCGCGACCCTACTAGAGGATAAGGGGTAGAAAATGAATGGATGAATGAACCAGCCACGTTCCTCAAAGTTGCATCACATGTCAATTATAGGGTACAGTATTTTAGTGTTTTCACAAAATGCTCTCTCTCCCTTTTGTTGTGGTTGGTGGTTTTGGCCACCAAAACTGTGCTTTTGGCCTCTCCAAAGCAGATACTGCAATTTTATGGCGCCAGTATCCCTACACTCTCACCTTCTCTCTTTTCTCCCTGATCACCACCATCTTCAACACTTTGTCCACAGTGGAGTCAGAAGTGCAGAAGTAGCCACCCTTTGTGTATACCACAGTGGGATCACTGGTGTCACTGTTCACACATTCAGGTTCACGTGACACTGACCTGTGGGTGACAGGAGAGCTCAATTCTCTGGAGGGTTAGGTGTTGCCAAGGCTGCTGAAAGCATCACCAGTGAGGTCATACTGTGAGGCATGCAACATTCAATGGATTTACTTTGATGATTCAGACTGAAAAAGCCTGACAGTCCACAGTGACACAATGGCCTGTAATCTATTTATTTAAGATTAAAGTCTGTCAGCCTTTGACAGTATCAAAGAGACACAGCGTTCATGAATTTAGAGAGAGGACAAATAAAACGGTATTATCTGTAACAAACATAATCATGTAAACAATTATCAACCAGAGTGCGATGATGGTATAATAGATGTATTATCCATATGTTTATCATCGGGCCTGTGTCTGATTATTGCTGCTATGGTCCAGTGGGCATGTTAGAGCGTATGCTCTGAGGGAGTGCAAGCTATGCCTTCCAATATCAGCTGGCCTCAAAGCTGCTTCTATAATGCATGAAGATCAATACGCTGTGGCTTTGTGAGTGAGGCCTTGCAACTCTGTGCCCATATCAAGTATTCCCGTCGACTGCCCCGCCGTTTGAAGGGATCTATGCCTTTGGATTTATCAGGGCTCTGGGGATAGCAGACTAATGTCTGGATATCCGAACTGCTATTGTTTGGGGAAAAAAAACATAAAGCTAGTAGTGCTGTGTTTGGGGTAAATCTGACATTTGCAGTTTTATGACAGTATTTGATGACAGAGATTAGTACTAAAGGAGCATTTCAACAATAATCCAATTCTGTTTTGTCCAAGCTTTATGTTCAACTGATTTGCCATTAAAGGATGTTGTTGATGTATTTATTGTACTATGAGACTTTTTTGTATGTATAACAAATTCTGATAATTACATAGCCAGATGTGCCTCTGCAGCTATTGCTGTAAGTGCTAAGTTAAAGAATATTTTTATCAGTAAGCATGGCACTAGGACCAGTCATATTCAGTCAAATCTGCTTCTCTCACAGTCTCCAAAAGCAGTGCGTCGCCTACCCAGGTGCAATGACAGTTTTGTATTACACAAATACAGTCCAGGTTGAGTGTGGATTACTTCAAGGTACCCTGTGGATTTTTCATTTTGAAGAAACATGGTTCTTTTTACATTTAACATTTCTCACCAAAATGCATTTTGTGTATCCCTTAAACCCAACAAAACTTTTTTGTGAAGCCTTCTTGCCAAATTATTAAAAACCTTGCTTTTTTTTTTTTTAACAACACATTACCTCATCAGAACATTCCTCTGCATCACCACTAGTGGTCAGACACTCCACAGGGTACCTTTAAGTGATTAAAAAGGTAATATTGATTCAGACAGTGGCTTATTTATTCATTCAATCGTATTTCATATTTTCACTTTTTCCAGTTCAGGGTCAACGGCTAGAGCTTATTCCAGGATGCACTGGGCAGAAGGCAAGCAAACAGAGTGGCCCTGCATATTGAGACGAATCAGGTAACGCATTTGCACACTTGGCGCACATGTAAACTCTAAACAGAGACACCTGGCTTCAAACTTAAGCTGTTGTGGCCATGTGACGACCACTGTGCTACTGTTCTGCCAAAGAATTTCTATCACTATCCAAACATACATAAAAAGAGTTTTGCTGATTATGGAGAGGATCTGTGCATGCACCTCCACTGGTCAAAGCCACAATGACATTAAATACCTGAAGTTGTACTAAGATACTGTTTCAGTAAAAGGATGCAAAAGCCTCATTTGCAAAACTAAAATTGTGTTACATTGACTTGAGCTGCATCTATTGATATTATCCTCTAGCTGATTTGTTACCTATCTTTTGGGTTTATGAAGTCCAGAGATTTCTCCTATGACCCCCAGGTTGGGACTTAATGCTCTCCCATGCCCCCCCTGTCCGATTTTCCCAATCTCACTGTCATTGTGAAGCCCAAACTTGCCAAGAACAGACCCCAGTTGCAAGTTTGGTTGTGAAACATTGTTTATGTTTGAATCTCTAATATATTAAACTGACTTTTAATTATTAACACACATGAAATGTTTTTGTTTTTCATTTCTGTTTGAGGACTCACACCCCTTTGTGTTTGGTTTAAACTTTAAACTTTTATTGAGCGCCAGATTCCTTTTGTTTTTAATCAGATGCCACTAAATGTATTGTTTGACAATATATTGTTTCTCAAGCAAAAGTGATAGACTGTAACACTTGTGACATATTCAGGCCCTTAAGAAATTGATACAATATCCTGTTGGGAAGACTAAATTATCTGTTGATGTTATTGGGACTTAATTGAACTTTATGATTTCTAAGGGTATAACTCCTCAAGGTAAATTACATTTTTCACTAGGAAACATAGACTTTATATTGTCGGAATTAATATTAAGAAAATATGTAACGTAGTTGGCAAACCACACATACAACGATCCTGATTTGCTTTTGCAATTGATAATATTTTTCCTTGCACACTTTGTGTGACTTTCACAACCTGATGAACAGTTAAACCCAACAAGCCCCTGGCTGCTCTCCCTACAGCCTAATGGCCTACTCTAATGGCTGTTTGTCTTGTTTCATGGTAATTGGGGGGCAACTGACTCTGCAGCAAAGTCTCTGCTATCCTTTTCCTGCTGAGATTCTTCTGCTAGTCCCCTCTGGGTCCTCTGCTTTGTAGGTACCGGTTTCTGCTCTAATGATATCATAATTGCTGTTTTCCTTCAGAGTGGACAATGGTTGCCAAGTTTGAAGGTGGCCCAGAAAATGAGCTGGAGATCAAACCAGGGACACCATGATGATGAAGATGCAGTGTAGATGTAGAAAAAAAAAAGGAGACGCATTCATCAAAGCATTGTACATTGTGGCCCCCTTTCGATCCTGTTGCTTATACTTCCCCCCTCATTCTTTCCATACCTGCCGAACCACCTCATTATACATGATATGTCATTAGTGGTGGAAAATGCAAATGAACCTTCACTGTGTAAGTCAATTTGGACACTATGTGTGTGTCCTTGAAACGGCTGTAAGAAACTGAGATATTAATTTGACCCGTGCGGTGACCGACATACACACTTACACGTATGTTCATACATGAACACACAGAATCTAACAGACTGTCCAACCAAAAAACCAACAACATTTCATATTTCACAAATCATTTTTGCAAGGCTTGTTTCCACACTTCACAAAGATCAGCTCCCTTCTTTGCCGCACACTCACAGGAGTGAGGTAGTGCAGTGCTGTTTGAACAATCATTTCTCAGTCCAGCTGAATTCATGCTGACGCTCCAGTTTGCTCAGTTTGCTTTCTGAAAACTCCCCTCTTCCTCTTTTTAATCCTCTAAGGGGAAGCAGAGAGAGGGGGAGAGAGAGAGAGAGAGACCAGCAGTGAATGCTGACGGGGACATAACTTGCCTTCCCTGCATACCTTGTTTACAGTCTCCCTCCCTGCTGCTACACCCTCCTCTCTCAATGGAGCCATAAAAAACAAATAGGGGCTTTTAGAGAAATTGCCTGTGCACTGAAGATTAATAACAGTTGCACCAGTTCACCCAAGAAAGTCTCCAGAGGCAAAAACGATATTGGAAGATTAAAAGTGCCACATCCCTAAATTGGAATGATTCAGTGCTCAGGCTGCTCTCTAACCAGCTTATTGAGAGTCAAGGCCTTGGTCTACCTGCCAGACAAAGAGCATCATTAAGTATTTACTTGTGGATAAGGATTCGCTGCATGCGTATAATGATGAGCGGAGAGTGTGATCGATTTGCTGTGTCTCAGATGGAAGTGTGGTGGCCTATAGCTTTGGCAGGAGCAGACAAAAAGACAGGTCATCCAGTGTGAGTTAGGTCATCTTTTCACTGCCTGTAGGCCATTAGTCTAACTCTTTACTTCCAGTTGGCAGAAGTAAAGGGAGCACCAATTTCACCCATTACTGTCATTGAATAAAAAAGTAAGGTGCAGTTCAGTTCTTATGGCCTGCTATTGGACCTTCATTATAGCTGCTCACCTTTGCAAACAAAGACCATATAGCCTAGGCCTATAAACTACTCTGATCTCATGATAATTAAGAAGATTAGGTAGCAGGATTAAGATATAATAAATCATTAGAGGCATCTAAACCCCTCTGGAAAAGTAAAAAAAAAAAGCCAAAAGAAAATAAAAAAATGAAAGTAATATGTAATATCACTATCTTTACAATAATTTGATGTATGACTTTTTAAAAAGGGCAAATGAAATAAAAACTACAACCTATTTCATGCTTATTGTTAACACCCAGGCATCCTCGCCTGATTAGCCACGACACTTGGCTCTGCATATTTTCAGCAGTGCCCTGGCTTTTCTGTGGTAACAAGGAGAAACACACGTCTCCGTGGCAACCAGACCAAAGCGTCTCTGCAGTTGCATAGCAACCACTACAAAAAACAACGGTCGTCACGTTTTGAGAGCCACACAAATACTAATTAGTTAGCAACGTTGCTCTTCATTTTCGGTTTGCACTCGCTACATCATTTGAGAAGACTAGACCTGTAGATATGTTGAAGAACAAGACGGAGCTAAAAACACAAGGCTTCACCGTGAAGGCCACTATGAAGAACTCCGTGGTGAGTAAAGTCATTTGACCTTGTTAACGTTAGCTGGCGTTCCGTTAACGTTAATTTTACCTAGCACCGTACAACAACCTATTCACTGTTTATCATTTGTTAATGGGGAATTTGTGACGAAATGTACTGTGGTGTTTTGGGGAGGATGCTTATTCAGCATAAGGTAATCCAGGTTATCACAGCGGGCTGCATCATTTCTGCCAGGGAGCTCTAGCTATCTAACTTTGCACAGAGTTTTGATTTCATTCACTGACCGTGTTTTTCACTGCTAAAAATATCTGTCTCGGACAAGAATTGTCTTTTAGTGTCGGATGTACAGAGTGAGGTTGAGTTGTGCTTTGTGTGGTACATAATCACTGACAGTCTTGACTCCCACATGCTGCGATCAACTATCTAGGTGACGTTTACAACTGATGGATAAGGATGGAGGGAGGGGGCAGCCTCTTACGTGCCGACTTAAATCATCCTCATACCGTCATCTTTTCCGTTTTTCGTTTCTCTGTTGTTATTGAGCAGATCTTTCTGCTCTTTCTACACAGAAAAGTAGTCAAGAGAGGTGGGGTAGCAGTGGAAAAAGAAAAACAGTATGCCTGAACATATTCCCTCCAACCATCCTTTTGCTGGCCCTGTATTGTGTGTGTGTGTGTGTGTGTGTGTGTGTGTGTGTGTGTGTGTGTGTGTGTGTGTGTGTGTGGGGGTAACTCTTTCACTGAGACAAGCTTGGGTGGATTTCACACAAGTGTGGGGGTTTGGGAACTCCGAAATTATCCAATAACTTTTATGGGCTAAAATTACACTGTTAGAACCCATTCCAAAGCTATAACACAATGATTAGTCACTATGAAAATCTGCGGCCCTATGCTAAGAAAAATGCAAATGACACATTAACATGAAAGGGGAATGTTTTATTGACTAGCATGCTTGTGGGGTGGTTGGCATTGTTTGCAGCACATGATTAGAGTATTTATCTATTTTACAAGCTTACAGATTTGTATTTGTTTGCCTAGCCACCAAAGCTTTTATGTATTCTGAAGAAACTTTTGTGCACTTACTTTTGTACTGGTGTGCCTTGTCTTACTGTGGGACAAACAAATAGTACTTTCCTGGACCTTGATTACTTGGATGTTGGACCTTCAGTGTAGTTAAACCAACAAGTTCTCCAACCTTAATGACCATATAGGTCATTTGTCCCTACCTTTTGATATGACTCAGGAGCAAATCAGCAGCAGGCGTACCAGAACTTCATCTTTATGGTAGGAGTTCACCAACAATGGCTGTACTGCTGTGGAACAGTCATGGTTTGGTTAGGTTCAGGGACAACAACTACTTAGTTAGGTGTAGGAAAACACTGTGAGTTGGATTAATATAAGTACTTCTATAAGGTTAGATGACCTTTGTTGTTATGGTTATAATGTTATAAGGTTGTAGAACAGTCATGGATAAATGAAAAAACATTGACACCAGTTTCACTCAGGAAACAAACACCACCCACCCCAATCTCCTCCTCCTAATGCAGACTTTGACGCTCCATATACTATTTCACCTAAATTCTAACTTTGCTCCCATCATAGTTACCACAGCCGCTAGAGGTCGCGTAACAATAAACTGTGACTATGTGTGTAATGAACTGCTTGCACAGATGACCTGTAGTGTATTTTTTTTTTTTACAGGAGGACAGTCTCTGTTAAACTGTGTTGAAAGAGTAGACTAATTTCCAAAGACAGTCAAGTCAAGTCCTCCGCTCTCTCATTTACTGCAAATGAAGATGGATCAGGAAAGTGTAGGTTTGTATAGCAGAGGACGTTAGTCTTTATTGAACTGTATGGATTAGTCAAAAAAACTAGCTTTTGTGTGGCCAAAAAAATAGATTATTAGAAATCTGGACTAGTTTTATCTGGGTTAGGTCATCTGTACACTCTTGTCTGTCTCTTGTCTGAGTTACAACTTTGTTGTCACGGTGGACCATATTTTTGTGTATTTGCAGAATTGAGGAATGGACTAACTTTACATGATAAGTGGGTGTACACATGATCTTATAAAAATGGGATGATGTGTGAATTTGCTGATTTTGTTTGCCACCAAAGGCCACTGAAAGATGCACATGTAGCCTCCCACTGTGTTCTGGCAGACATGGTGGGCCATGGTGGGCCATAGCAACTATGATGATAGACTGTAAGCAACTGAAGAAAACAAGCCTCCCAGGGATGGATTTACAAAAGCATCCTCTATTTGGCATGCATAAATCAAAGCATTATCATTGCCTTGTGTGAGGTTATGTACAAGTAAAATGTGCCATTCTACTTTTTTTTTTAAACACAGGTTTCTGTGTTAATTATAGTCTTCCTCTACTGTTGATATTGTCTTGCACTAGTTCAGCTCATTGTGCATGAATAAGTTATGAAAGTTGTCAGCCTTATTTCAGGCTGAACAGTTATTCACCAGCAATTTCAGTTGAAGTTTTTCACCTTTTGTCATCAGAAAGACTGCTGTCTTCAGTTCATGTGAGGAGGAGAGTTCTGTTGTGCTTCTCTCTGGTTTTGCAGTCGGCAGAATCATATACGTATAAGGAACACAATATGTGATGCCTCACATATTAGCTCTTCTTGTTTTTAATTCTTACTTGGCACTTTACACAGACGCAGTTATGGCTGGTGAGCAACAAAGCATGTCCCAGACAGTCATATTTCTTAAATTGACAGATAGAGGCATTCTTTTACTTGCCTGATCTCTCTGGCAATTATCCCCAACCTATTTTTTAGAGACAACACCAAGCTCTTCATTATAACTTCTGTCTGTAAAGGTGAAGACAGGTGGCTTTCAATACAAGACATTTTTATTTTTCAGTATTTCCAAACCAGGTCTACATGAATACTTAGCAACATGTCATTTTCTGTTTTTGTCAGGCGTATGGTAAAATCTTCTTTTTATTCAGGATTTTTGTGTTTGGTTTTGAAATGACAAACGAGAGCACTGCATCAGAAGTTGATGCATCCATGGTCAGCAATAATTTAATAAATGAATTTGAGGAAAGTGCCAGTTTAATATTTTCTGTCAGCAAGTCCATGGCTCTCACTTCTATATCTTCTCTACTTCTAAAATGTTGACTGTCCAGTCTTGGGTACTTTGATGCAAACAATTTAACTAGGTCTTCCTCTCTGAGCCACTAAGTTTTTTGCAGACAGATATTGCCTTGTTACGTTCGTACTGCACTTTAAAGAAGTGGCTCTATGTGATAAATAGAAGTGGAAGAGCTGCACAGTTCTGATGACAACAGTAAATACTTGAAATTGGAACTGCAGCTCTCTTTTTTCTGTGGCAGGGACTGCCTTGAGATGCAAAAGAGGCAGTCAAGCTATCATTGACTTCCTCCTCCTTTTTTGAAGGTCATAAACAAATCTCCTGTCAAGAGCCTTCACGAGAAGGCTCCTGCAAAGCCCTTTAATATTCACCATCTCCCCAGAGGATCTGCTACGTCTTGAACATGAATGATACTCCCCCACTGCTATACCACTGGCTCAATCCTCAACAAAAACCATTACATTTTTCAGAGGCTTGCTTGTGTCTGTTGCCTTCTGTTTTTCCTCCTCCCCTGTGGTCACTGACATATCGCTCCAGAGAGGGCAGCTTTGCGGAGAGCTGTGATTTGTAGGTAACGACAAGGCCATTTCAAGCCTTGAAAGGGTATGGGGACTTGAAGCATAGGCTTATTATGCTTTAAAGTATTTGTGGTCATAGAAATTGAATCAATAGCGCAGGCCCCTGAATCTCACCCCCACCCCCTTTTTTCTAGTGATTCATTCCCAAGCATTTAAAGAGAAAAAAAAGAGATGTACTTTATATTCTGGTGGGAGGTCGTCACCTTGTGTTTCAGACAGAGAGGGGAACAAAGCCGTTATTTTATGTGTCAGAGGCTTATTCCAGCTAGGTGACAAAAATTACAGGGGTTTGGGTAGAGAGTGCAAACACCTGTACTGTGCTGTGTGACATGAATGGACATGAACCCATTGACTGTACATGTGAACGTTGAAGCTGACACAGATAAAGGAAAAAAGATATGGCTTTTCATGTGTTATGAGTTAGGAATGAGCAATATGGATAAGAATGTCTATCATGGTGTATGTTTAGCTAATCCAGCAAATTAAATACCTAACAAATTAAAATACTTAAAAAACTACTGCATATTTAAAAGTAATTTCAAATAGTAGTGAACCGAATACCCATAACGTTTTGGGGCAGATCTGTATCATTTATTATGAATTTGAATTTTTTTTTTCTCTGAAGTCTGGTGTACGTTGTTTGTTGACTTTGGCCTTGGCAGAGGTCTGCGCTCTCTGAGTGCCCTTCTCATAGGTAGTGTATTTAGCTTATTCCTAGCCTGATAATCAAGTTAGTTATCATAGTTAGCTATGCAGTTTTTAGTTATTCCTCCTAGAAAAATCTGATTTTCTATCCGGTGGAAACAGCTGTCTGTGGCAGAACACACTTATTCTATCTCTCTGTTTAAACACCTACGTAAGTAAAAACATTTCGTCAATGACTATTGAGCTCACTTGGGATCCGTCACGTAGATAGGGTACAATTGATTTATAGACTCCTGAAGATGTGTAATATGTGAACATAGATCCTCATCATGCCCTGTAATTGATTTTTGTGGTCTGTAATTAGTTGGATGTTGCTGTAACACATCCTGTAATGTTTCCTCGTTTTGCATACCTCTTCTATGCTTTAACATTTTAAAGACTGTATCGGAAAATATTTTTAACGTCTTAAGTTTCATGAAGTCCCTTCCTTCAGGAAATGCTCCTTCATGAGAAGATAGAACGAAATGATGAAAGTCCTCTACATTGCTGTGTCCCACACTACATACACTGTACATCACAACACACACCCAAAAACATGGACATGATCCTCTTTAAGACACCGTATTGCACGGTTCACCTCATAGGGCAAATCAATACAAACTACACCTGATCCCAACCTCAACTTTCTTGTGGTGAGGG